AAAGCTATACAAGCAAAAGTAATTAAACAAGTAAATATTAAAAACAAAAAACAATTTTTTTTTTTAATATAAAATTCTTTTAGTCTCAAGAAATTGCTAATTTAAAAGAAACAAAAGATATCTATGATGTTCAATTAGCTAATTTTACACATGAACTTCTTAATACACAAGTTAATATCAAGACCATTTTATTTAAAAATAAAAATTAAATATTCGATCTTTTAGGCTGAATTAAAACAAAAAGATCATCAAGTAGCTACTCTATGTGATGATCTTATCCCAAGGTAAGTAATTAAATTTTAAACACAGACAAACATCTATTGATTTTCTCATTCAAAAAATGCCATATTGTCTTTCTTTTAAATTTGATATTCATATAGTTTGTAAGTATAATAATTAGTATTCTATGTCTTATATGTTATATTAGATATACTCACATGCATGTTAGCTTCTTTTTCTTTTTTGTCAAATTAACATGATTCCTTTTTTTTAATATCATTCGTTTGTTGATTGTTAGATCGACAAATGATGATGTTGATGTACTTAAACGTGAACTTATTACAGTTCAACAACGTATGGATGAAATATCATTAGAAAAAGAACAAGAAGTGGAAAAATTACGTTTTGCTTTAATAGAAAAGTTTGTTATTAAATGTTTAAATGAAATATAATTAATAATTGTTATTGTTTTTTTCTTATACTTAGTTATCAATATACAGAAAAATTAAATCAATTAGAAAATATATTTAATCAAGTAAATTAATTTTAATTTTTTATTTTTTTGTATTAAAATAAATTTAATTTTATATAGAATTTATTAATTTATGATGAAATGATCAATGAAAATACATCTCGAATTGAAATCGGAATTAATGAAATAAAACAATTTGTTAAATTAACACGTGAACGAAAAGAAAAATTTCAGATGGCTATAAAATATATGCGTAATTGTCTTACAGAGGTAAATAATAAAACGATAGCAGAGTCTTGCATAAAGTCCTGTTGATAAACTTGACATTTGAATTGTGCAATTTCACACGATGCGCTCATCACCGAAAACAAAGAAAAAATGAGAAAAAAAATATTTCGTATCTTCGGAGTGACTCTCCAATTTCGATTAGAAAATTTCATTGAGAATATCAAAGTATGGTTCGACTGGGTTCGAAAATGTTTGAACCCAACGTGCTCTCCCCTTGGCATCAGCGACTTAGTGTAGTTAGTGCACACTGACACTAACGTTCACTGAAACATTGGAACACATCGCTACAACAAACTTTAGATGAACTTTACATTTTTATTTTTATAAAATATCCAAAAATAATGAATTTCTAAGTTCTAAATAAATAGAAATTTTGTAAGATTATTCAGCAGTTATGTGATTAGTTAGCAGTTAGTATATATCGAAGATTGTTTTCTGTCAATGGTTATGATCTGTACTTATTATTACTAATATATTTCGAGTAGATGCCAGTTTCAATGCAAATTTAATCAGAAGAAGAAAGTATTAAATTGAATATCTTTATTAAAATACGATATCAATATTTACATTATCATAATTGGTCAGATTTCGTTTAATTAGATTGACTACGAAAGCTTAACACGATGTGAATTTTGAAAAACGTTAATCATTGTTAAAAAAAACTCTATCACCAAAGCGTATGATCTGAACATGTGTACAAGATGCTAGATTCTGCTCTCTGAGACTATTTATAAGGACTTGTAAAGATTTTTTGATGCAAATGTCTTCTTTCTACTCAATGGATGAGTAAAGACTAGCTGGCTAAAAGGTAATACAAAACAATTTTTTTTACAATGAAGCTACTGATTCAAGTGATCAGAAGCGAAGTCTATCCGCTTGTTGTCCAAACAGCTTTTCACTAACTGATTTGACATAAACTTCTAAATCGTCTTTTGTCATTGTATTATATCAACAAATTAGGTCTTGTTTAATTGCATATTAATTTTCTCTATAAGATGCGAAATATTGCCTATAAATCAATGAACATTCTCTATATTTTTTCATATGCTTCTATTTAAATTTCCAGAACAATTTTGCATATCAAAATACTAATATTGGCGCCAGAAGTCAGTGCAATCGGATGTTTTTTGAATAACTTTCGATAGGAACAAGTTAGAGACCTGCAGTTTTCAGCGTTTGATAGCCAAGATCCAGTAGCATATTTTCATAAGCAAAATCTTTGCTGAGAAAAAATTCGAAGATCGGTTTTTCAGCGAATCTTTGGAAAACGATGCTGGATTTCTGGAAACTGTCGTAGGAGTATATTGATTTTTTTTTACATATTCGGAATCAGCATCGAAAACTGAGTCGATTCATGTATGATTCGAATCTTTTCATGAACGTTGTTTTTTCATTGAAAAATTCGCCTCTAGTCTCCCCAACGGACGGGTAAAAAATGAATTCAGTCAAAAAGGCACTTAGATAGTGGAAAGCACGTTCAGAGGTTGTAAAATGCAAGAAGAACATAAAATGGCAAATGAATAAATAATAAAAATGCCGTTTTGACTGAGTTCATTTTTTTACCTGCCCGTCAGAGAAGGACTACGGATGAATTTTTCGACGAAACAAAAGTTCATGAAAAGATTCGAATCATACATGAATCGACTCAGTTTTCGATGCAGATTCCGAATATGTAAAAAAATCAATATACTCCTACGACAGTTTCCAGGAATCCAGCGTCGTTTTCCAAAGATCCGCTGAAAAACCGATCTTCGAATTTTTTTCTCAGCAAAGATTTTGCTTATGAAAATGTGCTCCTGGATCTTGCCTATCAAATGCTAAAAATCGTAGGTCTCTAACTTGTTCCTCTTGAAAGTTATTCAAAAAACATCCGATTGCCTGACTTCTGGCGCCGAAATTAGTTGCTTATACTGATGAGCCATAATTATCATCCAATTCCTTTGTGGTATTAGAAACTATGATAAAACGAAAGATATTTTTTTATACTTTTATATTTATACAATCAGAAAACTAATTTTATTTAGAATCAAGCTCAAATTGAACAACTTAAACAAACAAATATTCAATTGAATAATGATCTTGAACAACGAGTTGGTTGATTTAGTTATTTTTTTTTTTTCTCTAATCTCAATTTGTTTTATTTTTCTATTTTCAAGAAAGAAACCAATGATAAATTAATTAATGATTTACAAATTGAACAAAAACAAACAAATTCTTATCGATATCAAATTGAATCACAAACTAATGAAATTCATGAATTAGAAAAAACATTAAATGAATTACAAAATGAAAAAAATCAATTAATTCAAACGAAAATTGATACTGATGAAAATGATGAAAGACAAAATCTTTTTCAACAAATAACACAAGAAAGAGTAAAAACTATTCATTTATCGTATATGAATTTATTTAGTTTTCTCATCTTCAAGAATCAATATGAACAACAAACAAAAGAACTTCGAATACAAATAAAACAAATAAATAACGAACGACAAAAAATTCAAGATGAATTCGATCATATTTCTAAACAATATTTACAAATAACACATGAAAAAGTAATATGATAATATTTTTTATTT